CTTTATCTTGTTTGACATAGTATGGGGAGTCTGGGTTTAGTGGAGTTCGGTTGTTGCAGGTGACCTATTTGACATGATACTATGTGTGAAAGTGGACCCACACTGGAAGGTTAGGTTTAGTTTTTGATCCATAAATGGTGATATTCTGTTGTTGTATAAATAATATATACGAAAGAAATCTCAATATCAATGTAACTTTACAGGGTTTGCGGATTTTTGGTGGTTAGTCAAAATATGGTCTTAAAGACAAGGGTAGGTCGATGAAAATTATATGAATACATTCTTTTAAACATTTTGTTAAAATACCATGACATAATATATTTTAAATGCTAGTGGCCTGAACAAAAATATTGAAAAATAGGTAAAGAGGGAGGGTGGGATAGAGGGAGGGAGGGGTTTAGGATGATAGGGGATGGGAGTAGGTGGGAAGCGTGGGGGAAATGTTTGTTTGTGCATAATTCAACTAAATTATTTAAATATTTAAAAACATCCCACAAATGCATTGGTAAACCGAGCCGAAATAAATGTACTTAGTAATAATAGGAGAATTGAACTTCGATATGGCGTCGGTTAACGCAGTGTGAGATAATGAGAATAAGAAAAAAAATGTCAAGAATATGGCAATACTTATAATTCTAGCCTTGTGGCCGAGAATGTCCGAAGAAACAGATAATAATTTAAAGAAAGATGCATGTTATAGGGATAGACAACGAATCTAGGCATTAATTCTAGCATGATCAAGTTAGATTAAAAAAAAAAAAAAAATACGCCAAGAAATAACTCTCGCAAGTGAAAAAATTAGAGATTGATTCCCATAAAAAGACGACGATCTACCATGACGATAAAAACATGGTAGATAACAGAAAGAAGGAAATAAAATGCACTTTGCTTGGACAATTGTTCAGATGTTTGAGAAAAAAAATCACTGCACTTGTTAAAAAAATCGTACGGCATGCACACATAGGTGGAGAAAGAGGAAATAAAAGTGCCTACGGCGTAATTACGATTTTTCGGAGGAGACTTGTGGTTCGCGACATCCCGCCGTCTGCCACCAGTTGTCAGGGTTTTGTTTTGCCCTGATATGGTGGGTTATGGAGGAGGAAGAGATAGAGAGATAGATAGATAGATATACAGAGAGAGAGACGAGAGAGAGTGAGGAAGAGAGAGAGTGAGGGAGATAGAGATAGAGAGAGAGAGAGAGAGGGTTGGGGGGAGAGGAGAAGATAGGAGAGAGACAGTCAGGTTGGTGGGGGAGGGTGGTAGTGAGGCCCACCATGAATATGGGGTTTCTTGTTTCTGGAGAGGTTTTTGAAGCATCATAAAACTGTAGATAATGGACTACCCATCCCTGTTAACACATCCTGAAAATTTCACGTTCCTGGGATACTTAGTTGGCGAGATATCAGTCCCTGAAAATGGCTCAAAGTGAGATTTTGAGTAGATTCCAAAAAATTCTGAGTCCAGTGTCCAAACCCAAAATCAGAAAAATTCAAGAAAATGGTTCGATTTTCTATAGAAAATGCTTTATGGGTGTTAAAATCCACATTTCAGGCTTGTTTCTGCAGAATGATAATTAGGGAGGCCCCAAAAAGTGCCACGCCCACTTTTACGCAAATTACCACTGTAGCCATTTTTGATGGACAATATCTTGCAAACCAAAAGAGCTATTTGAGTGGAATTTCAGACAGAATTCGAACATGAACCATAAATCAATAAATCAAACAGGACCTACAGTATGGGCATGTGCAACATGCCCATAATGATGTTATTTGCTGCTGAAGGATATTTAGACATCAATTTGATTGAAGATATCTTTTTAAAAATCATACAAAGGGCATCAAAACACAACAGAATCATACGTAAATAATGTACACTAGCAATATACAGCTAATATACATAGCCAATACATAGGATTGACAGACAATTAATTTCATCGAATTTCACTTGAACCAAAACAAAAAACTTCGGGAAACCTACTACATACATTTAAACAATACAAATGCTAAGCATTTATGTCAGAAACTGACAGCAAGTCTCACGATTCCTCAGATATTTAGCAGCAACAAGCGAGTGATCGTTCGGTGTGCGAGTGTAAACAAACGGCAGTCATGGGCGCCGCCATCTTGGATATGATAAGCATTCTTGCTCGGACAGGGGCCGACACTTTTCAATCAAATGTTTGGCGCGGAATCTCAATATTTCTTACTGGAATTAGGTCCAAATGATCTTGAGTATGTATTATAACAACTGTTCATCGC